ATAACCATTTTAATTAATGGTGTCTACCCGGTCATGAAAATTTTCGTGCCTTTACTCCTAATTCAGTGATTCTTAAGGATTTTTGAGCTAAAAAAATTTTTAGACATGATCCAAAGCCTCCTATAACCGAAAGCCTCCACACGGTTTTTTGTAGGTAGTCCGATCAGACCACTATGAAGGTAAACCAAGTAGTGAAGGAACCATTTAATATGATATCTATTAAAAATTAGAAAGTGGTAACAAATATATGTCTAAAAATTTGTTTAATTTATGAATATAATTCGTTTGTTTTATTTACTTGTCAACCACTACAGATTCAATTCTCAGATATATATAATAAATTTCTCTCAAGTACTTTTAAAATAGAATTTGGGTTCATGTGCACAAGTGGTTCGCTTTTTTAATGATCTGAGCAGACTACTTATAAGAAACCGTGTGGAGGCTTTCTGATGTAGGAGGTGATGCATGATCCCTCTTACGAATCTGATATTGAGGATTAGAAATCAGTTTTTTTTAAAAAGAAATGGTAATTGGCATATCCAGTAAAAGAGTTTTTTGTTTGAAATAATATACAATTTATAGTAACTGTGCAAACAGTCGGTTTTGCTTCGTAAACTCTTAGTGAGGCGCCTGTTTCCTAAACTGTAAAAAGAACATCGGGAGCAAAGGGTTAAAATATTGAGTGGAATCCGGAGCTGTTGGTACCTTAGCATTCTGGATATTATTGTTAACTCAGTGTTTGGCGCCATCAACCAATTCATCTGCACTGTGTAGCCACGTACTATAAAGCCATGTACATCAATAATCTTATGTTGAATTCTCAGCTTTCTACAACAACTGCTCTTTTTTTTTCACAGCTTTGTAAAAAAACATTTTCTAGTGGTAACGAAGTTTATTTTTAGCTCTGTATTTTTTCATGTAATTTTTCTACCACTACAAATCAAAAATTCGAAATATTATATTAAACACAACTATATTCCAATTACCTCAGAGATGCCAATTTGCTCCCCTTTGTAAAACATTATTTTCTAGTGGTGACGAAATGTAAGTTATTTTTAGTTTAGTAATTTTCATTTTAAGTATTTTTTTAACCACTACAAATCAAATGTTCAAAGTATCATATGAAATGCAACTTTATTGCTACGATCCCATTGTGACTATTTTTAAAAGTGGGCGTAATTATCTTTACTTTTCAAAATTTACTATTTAATTCTCTACCAATCTATTAAAACTTTTACTGAAACCGGAGCAGTTGGCATTCCTGTTACCTCATGGGGACTATTTTAAGATGTAGCAGAGATGCCATTTGCTCCGGATAAGGCTCCTATACTATCAGAGCTGACCTATCAAGCAATATTGGGGTTATCTCGGCGTTTGGCGCGAAGCGCCACTAACCGATTCATCGATTCTGTTCTGCTGCAATATTTGTCATAAGTACTATAAATTGGTGAATTATATAAGCCAACTCATTGTTTAGAAATAGTGGTGGATTAAAATCTACTAAATGGAACTTATTAAACCAAGAATTACAATTAATAAACTACCACTTGAAAATATTTATTCGCTGTGCTTATGTTAGCTCTTTGCTCCAACAATAAATGATAAGTTGGCCTGTCTAATTTTGGGGCTCTAGCTCCGGACGGGCCACAACAATTTAAAAAAAGGTAAACAAATGCAACCTAAAGTTTGCAAATATTTGTTGACTAATTTTGCTTACTTTCTAAACGATGTAGCATGCCTTAATAGCATACCTGCCAACTCTTCCGGATTTTCCGGAAGATTTTATTTTCATATTTAAAGAACGAACAACATCATATTTAAAGTGGTAGCAATACTCGGGTTATTCCAATTAACTTTTTGAATTATAATGATAATTATAAATGAGTTTGACCACCACTACGTATAAATAATTACAATAAATATATATGAATGCATAATAATCCTTGCGCAAGCGAATTTCAACGGGATCAAAATATAAATATATTTTTGAGTCAGATTGTTTTTCGTTTATTGTTTTACAACCACTCTGAAAATCCATTCTCGGACAGAGTGAAAGTTGGCAGGTAATAGTAACAAAAGTGGCGAATTATATAAGCCTCTGAATTATTTAGAAATAGTGGTGGATAAAAACCTAATAAATTGAATTTATTAAACCCGGAGTTACACATTAATAAACTTCCACTCGAATATACTTATTTTCTGTCTGGAACAAGTTGGAATCTCTGAAGTAGGCGTAACTATCCTTATTTTGCAAGTTTTAATGTTTGAATATTTTACTATTTAAGTAAACTTTTGCTGAAAGTGGAGCAGTTGGCATCCCTGGCATTCATGAATAAGCCTATATGCAGGGCTACCAATTTTCTAAGCTTTTTGTAAATATTTATTCTAGTGGTAGCTAAGTTAATGTTTTAATGCATTATTTTCTATCCATTTTAACTTATTTTCCACACCACTGCACATAAATAATTTAAGAGTTCATATGCTACTCCACTGTTCCAACTCTTTCGTGGTAAGGCTCTTAAAATGCTGGCAAAATTATCAAAAATTTTGAAGTCTTTGGCTTTAAAATGTTTACCACTCTATAGAATGTTGAAATGCGTAGTAGTAGACAGGCTTGTATATGTTATAATTGTTACTGGGTAATGGTAATCACAGTTTGTTTACTGTTCTTAAGAGAAAGTTAGAAATGAGCTTCGAATAACTTTATTCTGATTTCCGAAAATAAGCAGCAATGTTATGAGCCACCTTAAAGCAGCGACAATCAGAGAAAATATAAATAAATAAATAAAAATACTATGTGTTTGTTTAGGTATAACAAAATCATTATTGCTTTTACTTTACTTCGAATATATCTTATCTGTATGTTCTAAATTTTCTATTCATAAAAAATAAATCATACTTCCCATGGAATCAAAACACTGGCAATGGAATAAAGTGATAACGAAACATAAACGAGAAATCGCAACATTTTGTAGTGGTACAATAAGTACCTTTAAAATAGTAAAGGTACCATAATTAAAAGAAGGAAAGAAAAAATACACTGATGTTATTAAATCTTGTTATATTTGGTTAAAATACTATTTCTTAAGATTTTCTCTAAATGGTAGCCAACACTAGAAAATATCGAACTCCAGTCTCTCCTACATTTGAGAATAATGTGAAATTTTTTTCCAGTGGTACTAAAGTAAAGAAGAAATATTTAAACAAAATTTTTTTATAAAACTTTCATCACAATTAAGAGTGCAACCATCTGTGTATATGACCTTTTACATAAAAATTTAAATTATTTATGTGAAGTGATGAACAAAAATATTTTAAATTAAATTTATGACTTTGGCTACCTCTAGTAAAAATATTTCCTGAAATTCTGGAAATTCTGTACTAGTTGGAAGGTATGGTTTGAGCATTGATGTCCTGTCACTTTTTTTTTAAAAAAGTACTTCTTACAACACTACAAAGTGTTGCCTTTTCACAACAATATTCATGCATGGGTTTATTATGAAAATTTTTTAAAAACCTAACTACTATATAAAATTGAAAGAAAGTGGCATACTGTAAGTATGTTTACTTTATTTATGTGTAAGTGCGGGTAAAATCAATTATCCGTAAATTAACTGAACCGAGAAATAAATATTAAACATAAATATTGCTACCACTGGAAAATAAATTTCCTCACAAAACGAAACAGTATCTATGTACTCCCACACAGGGGATCTTCAAGGACAAAAGGTTAAATTAATTCTATGAAAAAGAAAGAAAATTTATAATATATAATTTGAATAAGCATAAAATCTGTCAAACGCAGCCTAATTATACATACGTTATAAAAAATACAAACATTTTTATCATAAATTATGGGATTAACTACAGATTAAAAAGTCTTTTTTAAGTTTACCTTACAAAAACACACAGACCAAACAATACATACAAAACAATATGCAAAACAAAATTATTTATCAATACTTTTCTATAAATAATACAATACAGAGTGTTCATATTTTTTCCATTGGAAATTTTAAGTTTCTTTTTTCCAAAACCTTATCGAGGTGATATTATCTCGAATAGTTATATATTCACGTACTAAATTTACAACTGTATATTGTAATAATACGTGTAGAAGTACTTGTATAATATACCATTGTATTTCATTGTAAATACAATGGTATAATGTACCATTGTATTTCATCTTAGTGCATACTATTTCGAAATGAAAAACCTATTTATTTTTTATGCTTTTTTATTTTGAAAACTTATGAACTAATTTAACTAAGTATTGATATTCATTTTGTGGCTAACAAGAAGTGTTTAAAAATCATCTTTACATTGTCAGAAAGCAATAAAATAATTTTTGTCTAACAATGAGGCTGTGTTGTTATTGAATTTCAACTTTCTTGTGTGGATTGTTTATTTTTTTTAATCCTTTAAACTAAATTTTTGTATTAAGATTTCGCAATTTGTTTTAAAAATGTCCATAATGATTATTAAAATTATTTTTTATTTCAGTATAATTATAGTAAATACAACTATTATGCTAAAAAAGTATAATGTTTTAAATTTTTAAAAAATAATAACCCCTATTATAATAATTTCTATAACCCATGTGAAAATCGATTCAATTTCATAACGCCAGATGTCCAAAAGAAGTGTGAAATACTTTCACATATTTAACACTCATTATTTAACACGATGACGTAAATTTTATAATACAAAAATCCTTATAAGTGAGACTACATCTCGAAGAATTTGATTGTTTTATCGGTAGTTTGTTTATATTGTATGACATACTTTAAATAAACATTTTCAGTGAAAGTTAGATAAAAACGAAAGTTATCTTCAGCCTAATAACTCGCCGATTTAACCTTTACAGAGGAACACAGGCCAATCACTTTCTCTTGTAAAAACGAGATATCAGAACTACTGACGATAAGGTCACGTTTGTCAGTATTTGTTGTTGATTGAACACAGTATAAAACAGTGATAAACTGTCAGAAATCACTTACCTTGCTACTGAATATCACTGACAGTAGAAGTGTTGAATCCCTGCAGCAAAAGCATCACATAGGGAATGACGGTAAACAAAACAGGCCACTTACTTTATGCTGTTGTGTGAAGAAGAAGATGATGCGCATGCGCTAAATGGAGGGGGGGGGGGGGGCCCGGCCAGCAGACCAAAGAGAAAAAGAGAATCCTGGATAAAAATGATGAGAACCGTAAAGAATCTCCTTGCAAGACATTAAAAAAATAGATTTAGACAGCAGCGTGTGTTGTTCTTGTTTTATTCCTAGTAGTATCGATTTAAATTAAAATGATTTTTTTTTTTTTTAAAGAAAGGGACTGATGCGTTAAGGAGAAAAATTTTTCGCTATTAACGTTAATTGCATTATTTTCAATTTTCAAACGTTTTTTGATTTTTATTTTTAATTAGGGGCCCTTTGGGAAAAAAAGTGGTTAACTAAACTTAAGTAATAATAATAAAAAAAACTTAAAGTGGTTAACCCCTTAACGCACAGATTTTTTGAAAAAAAAACCGGTCAAAAAAAAAAACATTTTTTTTATGTAAAAAAACACAGTTTAGAACAGTGTCTTTTATTTTGGTGGACAATTTTGATATACTGTGCTTTTGTTTCGTGGAAAAAGGCTATATTCAGAGATGCCTACTGCCCCGGACGCGCCAAAATAATTTAAAATTTTTTTTTTAAAAAAAACGATAAATAATCACAAAGCTCTGTACAAAAACAGCACATGTTTCCACCTTGAATTGTAATTTAAATTAGAATTTGCTACCACTGGGTAAAACCATCCTCGAAAGGATTAAAAGTTGGCAGGTATGCGTCAAACTAATTTTAAAGAAAAACGCTAAATAACTACTAAGTAAATTTTGCTAACATAAAGTGGTGAATAATATAAGCCTACGAATTATTTAGACATAGTGGTGGATTAAAATCAACTAAATTGAACGTATTAAACCAAGAATCACAATTGATAAACTACCACTTTAAAATATATATTTGATGTCCGGAGCAAGTTGGCATCTCTGTAAGTACTGTTATATGTATTCGTTCATCAGAGATGCCAACTGCTCCGGACATGCCAAAATAATTTAAAAAACGGTAAATAACTACAAAGTAAATTTTTCAAATGTTTGACTATTTTTGCTTCCTTTTTAAAAGATATAGCATGACATAAGTACTTACTTACTTACTTTATTTAAAAACAGCTGGGCACCTGGGCCGCGCAGCGGCCCCTATCCCATTCATCATGAAACTACAAAGATGAGTTAAAAACATTTTGAATATAAGCAGTCGTTGTGGTAGCTTTACAATAATATTACCATGATTAGAGAAAATACAAACTTGAACAGAGATATTTACAGTAGTTGCCATGAAAAAATGTATAGAAAATATAACCTTCATTAGAAAACATTACAACTTGAACAGAGATATTTACATTAATTGCCATAAATATGTACAGAAAATTGAATATGAGCATGAATAAATGATGATTATATATATACAAAAGCCGTGATTCATAGGCGTGAAGGTTTTACATAAATTTTGTCAAGCCTTAGTGGTGCCAACTAGTATGATCAACTTTAATTTGAAAGGGCAGTATACAGTATTTATTTTAATAATCTGTATGGAAAATTAGAGTTCTGAATAATAATAAGAGTTCAAATAGAAGTTCAAATCAAGTCAAAAAAGATGTTACTGTACAAGAGTGGCTTCCCCCATAATCTTCTGAAGCAGTTGAAGCACTTCTTGATTTTTTAAAAGTTCTTGCAATTCTTTAATTATTGTAACCAACCTTTGTCCTGTTGTTGGTGGTATGGCACGTGTTCCCATGACATAAGTACTATAAAGTGGTGAATAATATTAGCCTACGAATTATTTAGAAATAGTGGTGGATTAAAATCTACTAAATTGAATTTATTAAACCAAGAATCGCAATTGATAAACAACCACTTTAAAATATATATTTGCTGTCCGGAGCAAATTGGCATCTCTGGATTTTCCATCTGGCATCTCTGTATATTTTATTCTTGAATAAATAAGTGTCATAGCTAACAATTCTATGTAAACGATAAGTATCAATAAAGCGATTTTTTTCTTAGCTTTCACCGTGTTATTTTCAATTCTCGATTATATTTGCGTGTGAAAAAATTATAGCAGCATAAAATACAACGCCACTCTAATTATCTCGATTGTGCACAGTTTGGCCTGTTTAGCGTGCTCGAATTAACGCGAGCTCACAAGTTAAGTGGTTAACTAAGATGGTAGTTGAATCTACTAATTTTACCTTTCTAAAATTAGCTTCTAGGCCGACCGACTTGTGTAGGGGGCAGGGAACTATCCTTGCATCAGAAAGGGTCTGGGTTCGAATCCCGGGCAAGACATGGATGTTCTTTCCTTCTCTGTACTATCTGTCCTCACAGTGGGAGCGACGTTGGCTCACCTAATATGGTCCCCCTGACAGAGAGGCCAACAAGTTCTGCCTGAATTGACGGATGTTAACACAGGTGGGCATTGGAAAAAAAAAATTAGCTACTAATTTCGAGGCCTGCCAACTACAAAGCTTTTTTCAAAATAATTTATTGAGTAGCAGACGTTCAAAAACCAAAGCTTTTAGAATTTATGGTAATTTCGCCAACATTTTAAAAGTCTTACCAGGAAAGAGCAAGAACGAAATGGAGTTGCATCACTTTTAAATCATTTGCATGTAGTGGTGCGGAAAACAAGTTCAAATGTCTAAAAAATGATAGATTAAAACATAAACTTAGTTTCCACTAGAATAATTTTTTACGAAAAGTGTAGGAAGTTGGTAGATTGGTATATTGAAAGAGACTTATTAGATATGTTTTTTCTAAGAGAAAGGGACTACCGACTAAAGAGGATAATGTATTGTAATTCACGTGAATTACATTATCTTAAATTTTTAAACGTTTTTTGCTTTTTATTTTTAACCAGGGTTCGGCAATTTTGACATCCAAAAAATCAATAATCCAAAAATCAATTAAATAAAAAGTGGTTAACTAAATTTAAATAAAATAAAAAGAAACTGAATGGTTTACTGAAGCTGGGCTGCCAACTTTCTACACTTTTTGTAAAATTTTCTTTTAGTAGAAACTAAGTATATGTTGCATTTCAATGTCTGATTCTTTATTTTATTAATTTGATTTAAAGCTGTTTTCCTTACCACTTGTCATAAATGATGCAAATGTTTTGTAAACAAAAGAAAAGCTTTTTTCTAGCTCTCTTGAGGGGAGGGTTTTAAAATATAGGCACAATTGCCACTAATTCTGAGAGCCATAGTTTTTAAATGTCTACTACTCTAAAAAATATTTTGCAAAAAGCGTAGTAGTTAGCAGACCTGCTGAAGTGTTTTTTGAGAGAAATAATTTTACTTCTCTAAAACTAGCCGCTAATTTCATATTAACCCGTTTTGTCCCGAATTTATATATTGAAATGATACAAAAAGTGGTTTTATGAAAAAAGTGGTATAATATATTATCGAAATTAATTGTTTTTTCTACTGTTACATACCTGCCAACTTTTAAGCCCTTCCATTATCATTTTTCCCAGTGGTATTAAAATGGAATTAAAACTTCAATTTTAAACAAACAAATACGTTGTAATTGAAAAAACTTAAGTTGACAACCATGGTAGTAACGCATATTAATATATGTGCTTAATTTTTGTAAGAATAGTGGTGATCAAAATCATCTGAAAATTAAGTTTATAAAAGAAAAAATAGTATATACTTACTACCACATTAAATATGAAAATAAAATCTTCCGGAAAATCCGGAAGAGTTGGCAGGTATGCTGTTAGAGTATTCAAAAAGTCTTTGATAGATCAAAAAGTCCTTTCTACTTATAATTCTAGATCTAATCAGAAATAGCTAAATCATTGTGGTATCTGAGAATCTTTTAATTCACCCAAATAAATGAAAATGCTGAAAAAAGTTTCCTACCACAATGAATGTCTTTGAAAAAAGGAACTGTGCTATATATATGACGCTGGGCGTTAACCGTTTAAAACAGGCATGTTAGATGTATTTTTTTCTTCCATATATTAGATTTTTATTAATTGTGGTAATCACGAATATATCAATTTTCTTAACAATAAACAAACAACTCTCCCGTCACTTTTAACTTTTAAAAAAACATTAACCCTTTCGCGCCGACTGTCACAAATACGTGACAGCAAAAAACCGTATCAATCAGGGTAAGAAGATAAAACTGGTAATCAAAATAATTCTTTAGCAGTTTATTTGTGGGCGGAGTTATAATTGTTTGATTTATTTAATTCACCATTACTTTGTACAAAATAAAACTATTTAGTTGTACTTTGAATTAACATTGATTATATATATGATTACACTAACAATAATTAAAATAAAAGCAAAGTAAGTCTGTCAAATTAGTAACGACTACATTTAAGTTACCGTTTTTTATTTAATTGCAACTTGATTCTGATTTTGTACGAATGCTTTTCTGAATCACCCGTCCCCAAGGGGTTAATTTAAAACTTCATGATAACATAAACCAGAGATTGCTCCAGACTGTGAATAAATATTTTCTGTTGGTAGTTTCTTAACGTATTGTGGGGATAGTAGTGATCGACAATGTCGGCTTTCCTCCATGGAAAGGTACTTAACGCGAATTAACATGTCTTATATACTAGTGAATTGGAATTGTATTTTTGTAGTGGTAGACACATTACAGTTAAAATTCTGACCATTATCTTAAATACGCATTTTGAGCAATATTTTTTTTTAAATACGCATTTCGAGCTATGTGAATTTTCTGAAACATGCATTTTGAGCAACGTTTATTTATTATTATTTTCTTAAATACGCATTTTAAGCGATGTCTATTTCTTTGAACACGCAGTTTGAGCAATTTTTTTAAACACGCATTTCAAGCGATGTCCATTTTCTTAAACATGCATTTTGAGCAACGTTTATTTATTATTATTTTTTTAAATACGCATTTTAAGCGATGTCTATTTCTTTGAACACGCAGCTTGAGCAATTTTTTTAAACACGCATTTCAAGCGATGTCCATTTTCTGAAACATGCATTTTGAGCAACGTTTATTTATTATTATTTTTTCAAATACGCATTTTAAGCGATGTCTATTTCTTTGAACACGCAGTTTGAGCAATTTTTTTAAACACGCATTTCAAGCAATGTCCATTTTCTTAAACATGCATTTTGACCTCTTCAGATCCAAAGTATCCAAAACTTGTGAAAAATTAAAGAGTGGTGGC